CATCTGTTTTTGGCCCAGGGCATCCTCCCAAAACAGAGGCTGACCCTTTACAGTTAGGTACCTGCTTGCCACAGACTAAGCTCCCCATCTCCCCTCTAGTTCTGCACATCAGCGTGGTGTTTGCTTTTTTCACCTGCTGGAGTCTGTAAAAGCAAACTCCACAAGCACTTCATGGCAGTACATACAGTATTTCCAGCAGAAAATAAATAGCTACACTCTTTGCCTTCCCACAGTCCTTGGCTTTTTCACTTTCCTCTGTCTTTTTCTATCTTTTTAAAAGGGAAAAACAAAGAAAATACTAGTTTTTCTCCCTTCCTTTCCATTTTAATTCCTAATTTATTTCAATAAAAGTCCTGTCAATAAAATGTAATCAACATCTTCTTAATTTTTTTGAAGTTGTGCACCAGAAAAGTAGTGATGCTGCTGCTGTCATATGGATTACATAAAGCAGTTCATCCCATAAACAAAACAATACAGTCACAAATGCTAGTGCACTGTAACAGAAATGCCATGTAGTGACACGTTTTCCTGACAAATTAAAAGACCCTTGAAATACTCGATAACAAATCATAGGATATTGGTGAAAACTTCTCCCTCATATACACAGAAGCTTGTTAAAAGCAAAGAAAGAGGTAGATAAAAATATGCATAACTTCAAAACATGAGAATATTTTTCAGTTATGTTGTTATCATTTTGTAAACTGTGGAAATTATTTGACTAAGTCACATAAAACTTAAGCAAGTTTAAAAATCCAGAGCATCAGTCAAGGGATTTTATTTCATCATGCCTTGCTTAGCTTCAAAATGATTTTCTACTTCAGTGGACTTTGTGGAAGGAAGAGTTTTATGGTGCATATCTGTATCTTCATTTTGAATTTAACACTAAACTGCAATTATATGCTGTGATATAAATATTCATAAACTGCTGTCTCCATGGGGAAAATATTCATTTAAAGTAAACTTCAGTAAAAACTGACTTGATAAAACTCTTGTACATCTGAACTGGCTTTTTGGGGTGTATGAAGCAGTGTGTTATTGGGTGATGCTAGTGAAATTATATTAAAACTAATACAAATTTTCTGGTGGATTTCATTGCAGAAGAAAGCAGTGGAGAAGTGACAGAGTTCAGATGAACAGAGAGACAGAGAGTATGGAACCCAACCAAACAACCTTTGAAATCCTAAAAGCAGCCATGAATCAGTGATTTTGTCTGCAAAAATCTGGGCAGACAATACACATTTATTGTAATTACTTTGACCTGCTGAATACATTATACAAGAAATTAAGTGTTAACATTTTATGCTTTATAGACCTCTTTCTGTGGAGAGCATAGATTTTAGCTGATTCATGAAGACTGATGAAAGTCTTTTAAAAAGTTTTGTAAGTGCATGATTAGTATTGCTTTTGGAAAAAAAAATGCAAATGTTGTATCCTTACTTTAGATGTGTCTGGTTGTATAAACAAATATGATTTAATAAACTCTAGAAAGGAATGGAAGCAAATAACCCTTATAAAAAAAAAATAATAATAAAAAAAAATAAATTATGCATTCAGATCACACCACAGTACATAGTGTTCTTGCATGTTTAATGAAAATAAAATTTTCAACAACTTCCAGATACCACTGGTGAATAAAATATAAGTATTTTCAAATATCCATCTACTCTTTACATTCATGAATGCTATAGGCTGCATGTATAGAGCACCCGCAGCTATACTGTGGTTGAAACTCCAAGGTGCTGACAGCACAGACAGGCCTCTCTAACCCATTACAGGCAGTCCTCAATGAGTTATATTGAAAATGTTCATTCGAAAAAGGAAAATATTAGCCTAAGTGGTCTGACCGAAGCACAACATTACTAAAGTGGCTTTCTGTACGTGTGGTCAGCTGTGTACCAGCAGTGTAGGTATGGAGTTTTACCGTAATGAAGACATCCTGATACCTCCACAAAGCTGTAAGGAGATGACAAGACAAAACATCTGCTGCTCACCCCAGACTTTTTTTCCTTTTTTTTCTGCTGGAGAGGAACAGGCTCCGCCAGAGGGCAATTTGTCTTATCTAGTCGGGTCAGATAAATCAACCTCCATGAGTATTTACTTCACTGTACCAGCTAGAAAAAAAAAAAAGCGTCAACCGTCTTAGACCTAATTTTTAGGCCAATACAATTTTTATCTCCCAGCTAGGTCCCACATTCAGTTATTCAAGGAAGGATTGATTTAGCCAGGTGGTTTCTAGCCCACCAAAAGCTGTCTTGAAGGTTACGATGGCTGTCAAGGGTTGCTCCACAGAGGAAAAGGAGATGCCCAGGAGGAGGAGGCCCTCTACAGCTCTCACGCCCTCTAGGTCGAGTCCCAAGCTGCAAACATAGACTATTGCAAGTGTCTCTTCCTGAAAACCTTAAGCAAGAGGAAATCTACCCATAGCTGCAGCTTTTAGAAAGTATAAGACAAACGTTAGGAAGTACCCAAGAGGTTTGCAAAGTGAGCCACTGTATTTGCCTGCTTGTGGCAAAGCCTGATGAGGGAGGTATCTGTATCTCCACGGTGCCTTTTGTCATGAAAGTGGTTCCCTCCAGATTTCATTGAACTCAAAATGCCTTTGTGTTTTGTTGCAGACCATGTTGTGCCCCTTGATCACCTAGACCTGACTCAAGCCCCATAAAGAAAAAAAAACAACCTCCAAATCTGGGCTTTGCATTCTGTATTGGCAACTTTCTCAGGTATTGCAGTGCAGAGCAGGCACTGTGGAGACCTTCATGAACAAGCAAGAGGGTGCTTAATCCACATCTCTTTTATTCTCCTGCACTCACAAAATCTCACATAGTTTTCTTTTTTTATTAGCACAATTCTCTAATCTTCCCTGGCTACATTCTGAAATGCAATATAAAAAAGCATCTGAGTAACAGTAACAAAATGCACATTTTGAAACCGTAAAGTTCTTCTTAATTCCACAGATGGGGCTGTATTGTTGTATACTAATCCTTTTTTATTCCAATAATTTCTCAGTACTTGGATGTTTCATATATTTATCCCAGAACTTCCCCCCACCCCCTCCCCACCCTTCACCTCCCCCCCCCAAAAAAAAAAGAAAGAAAAAAAGAAAAAGAGCAAAAGAAAGGAAGTAAAACCCAGCTTCCTAGAGATCTTCCACAAATTCTCATTCCAAGATTATCGTATTAGCCTGGTAGATTAGCTTGATAAATGGAATATAATGCTCTCTCATTTTAGCTAATGCTGCTTTACTAAAGTGGCTAACAAACTTAATTCTATGCAGGGCAGGATTACCTGACAGAGTAACTGAGTAATTCTGTGTATTTACAGATGGGATGAAACAGATCAACTCATTTCTTTGCTCTATTTGTATTGCTTACTTGGAGATTATTTGTCCTTGGACGTGATCCGAAGGTCCTCATTGCCATTGGCAGCAGGCTGTGGTGATCTCTCACTGCCCAGAAGGTTTCACCACTGGGTCTGGCAGCTGGAGGTCCAGCCTTTGGGCATTTCAACCAAACCTCTGGCCACAGGCCCCTGCTGCCTATGCTTACCTGTCCCTGAACAAAGCAGGACAGCTGCTGGCAGGATGCCCTGCACGAGAAGTGCTCACCATCAGCTTTCCCAGATCATGGAGACCTAGAGATCTCAGCCTCCCAATTTTTGGGGTTATCCAGATGACATCTGGATGCTTTTGGGTCTCACCTGCCTTCTTGAATCACCATTCAAACCCCTTGGGGAAGGGGCAAACCTGCCTCTCAGTTCGTGCAGACTCCGGTGTCCCTGGGCAGCTTCCCAGCTGGGACATCCCAGGGTTGCTCCGGGAAGCATCGCTCTGCCTGCATAATCTCACGTTTCCTCCACAGCAGAGAGCTGAAGGTTAGCAGGCCTGTGCCTATCCTGTGTCAGGACACAAGAAACAAATCCCTCTGGGAAGCAATAACAGCGCAGTCACTGGGTGAGCTGCAGGGCTATATTTGGCCCAACCTGTAGTAAAACAGAAGCCAGTGTGGGGGCAACTTCCTCTGAAAAGACAAACAAACTCCAGACCTTGTCATCTCTTTAATTATATGGTCGCTACCAACAGTTTAAACAAACAGTTCTTTTTTTATTTTATTTTATGCTCATCATTACTTTGGCCATGCTGTGGAGCCTCATGTATTTCAAAAGCTTTCTCTGCTAGCAGAGTCTTGAGCAGCCACAGCAATGCTGCTTTGAAGAAGAAATGCCAGCAATGAAAAACTTACGCAGCTTGCTGCTGGCTTCAGACAATCTCCACAGTGTTAAAAATCAAGGGGGGACATGAAAGAGGGAAGTTTCAGGCCACGAGAAGGGACTAATGGGAGATCAAATTACTTAGCCTAAAAAAGTTCGGGGAAGGGGGGGATGCTAAGGATAAGCAAAGAAAGGAATCACATTCTCAGGGAGTTTAAATTATTAAAGTCCTAGTAAAGAATCCACTGCAAAATCTCTTCTACTCTCAAGTGTAGTCAAAACCAAGTCATATATGAGAAAGAGCTGAAGAACAAATTAATGATGGCAATCTACATGACAGCACAGCAGTCTCATTGGGAAGGAATAAAATTCTTTATTGAGAGCTAAGTCTTACACCACTTAAAACTTGCTCTGTAGTGCTTTTGTCCACGGATTTTAAGTCAGTTTGCTGAAGAGCCTAAGCTCCCCTGTTTTACTAGGGAAGGAGCAGAGAGAAGACAATCCTTAGAAGTGTGATCACTAGTTTTATTCGTCCAGTTTGACATCTCTGCAGCCTGCTTCTTAAAAGGTGGAGGACACCACAGATTTCATCTGATTAATTTGTTTTGGAAGAATCTGAGCCTGACTGGCATGACCAAATTCACCCAAAGTAACAGGAGAAGAGCGTGAAATAACAAGTGTCTTTCACAGTTCATCTTGGCATCCCTCCCTAAGGAATATGTGCGAGACATTAGTTCTAGTCAAGCCATTAAAAAAAAAAAAAAAAAAAAAAAAAAAAAAAAAAAAAAAGGAGCTAACATATGCAATGGGAAAAATAAGACTCTGAACGTTGAAATCCAATTCTGTTAGTCTGTCTGTCTTAAAATAGCCTGCCCTACAATAACAACGCTGCTGTGTTTATATAACCGACGGTGGGAACATCAGGCAGATTTGAAACACGACCATTTTTGAGACTATTAGGTGTTCTTATACTTTGGCCACTGTCCCTTTCCAAGCAGCCTCTCTTCTCTTTGGGAACTGGGATGTGCAACCTGAGCAAGCCAAACCCAGGCTGTAGCTGGACCAGGCGGTGAGGCTCTGTCAGGGTCCTGGTGCCAGACCCAAATCACACCGAGCACGAACATGGGTCCTGTGTAACACACTGGTAGCTCAGCCTTCACGCTGCACCAGCAGTGCTGAGGTGCAGCCGTGTGTTGTCTCCCCACACCACTTGTAGTTTTTCTGTCAGGAACTGTGGCCTGGGGAGACCAGAGGTGCTCTCCTCCAGGCTTCAGTGCTGATACAGCAGTAGTGAATGAGGAACTCCAGGCCCCCTGACTTCTGCAGGACAGCGTAAAGGACTAAGCCCCAGCGAAACAGCTGTGTCCAACCCTGAGAGGCCATCTTTGTCAGCCTTTGGTTTGAGTTAAAAACACACACTTCCTTTCCCAAATGACACTTCGATCTTGTGAAGGCTGTTGTACTGACAACCGGCTTTGATCAGCAATAAACCCAGAGTGAAGAGTGCAAAATATGCAGCCCTGGCAGCCTGCCTAAAGCCTGTTTTGCTGTAATTTGCCTTGAAGAGGAGATATGCAAGTATCCATACCCCTCATGGTGAGCCTGCCATGGAGACAGGCCCAAGGACCATGAGACGCACTCAGTAGGGTGGGCATGGGGTAGGGAGCCCGGGCATGGATGCTGGCAGTGGGCTCTGGGACCAGAGCTACAGGAGCATCTGGAGCCTGGAAAAAGAGATACCAGCAGGTTGTTGCAGACTCCAAATGGATCAGGCAAGGCCTGGTGAGGGAGGTCTGTAGAGGTAGAAGGTGAGTGGGTTGATCTGGAGCAGGTGGAGGCAGGGCTCATGCACGCTGACCTCTCTCTTTCTGCTGAAACTGTGAGAAACAAGAAGTTAATGCAAATTCCATTGAATGTAGCTTTCTAGACAGGCAACTCATTTCACTGATGAAAGGCTATATAATAAAACAACTGTCAAGTGATAAGCCATTATCAGATTGCTGATTTGCTCTCATTACCTGTTCACCATTCCAGACTCTCTGCAGATCATTCATATCAAACTGTTCTTCTACTTCTTTATATCAACACTGTAAAATAGAAATAAACACGTGCTTCACATTTCAGAGGTTTAATCTCTAGGTTGCCATCATGTTTGGTGACTATGTTGATTTTTCCTATTGGAAGAAACTACCTCAGCTCCTCTGAGTCTGTCCTGACAAGTCTCCCTTTAAAAAAAAAGGAGAGAAAGCTTATGTACAGGACTATTTTTCAGCTCTAGGTATAGAGGCTTATTATTATCATTTCCTGGCACCTTTAATAAATGGAACAGTTTCTATGCTCTGATTCACGTGCATCAGTTTCTCCTCTTGGAGTCTTACTTCGTTGCAGGGAGTTCCCAGGATCAAAGTCCAGCCAGTATGAAGACGTTATCTGATTAACTCCACGCTGTTAGTGATTGAAATAGAAATTCAGTACTGCAGGAAAAGAATGTAGTAGTTCCTGCTATAAACCTATTTCATAATACCAGCCGACGTATCTGGCATTTTAAATACTGGTTAGCATACCATCTTATACTAGTTGGTTCCAGCTGCGGCAAGTAACCTGATACGTCATGGCCAGGAGCAGCTCCAAGAATAATGCAAATATTGCCAGATGCTGGGAGTCCATACTTGGAGAAGTGTTGCTCTGTCCTTCAGCATCAGCTGTCTTTATGCTTCTTCCTTCTAAGAGTACCTTTTTTCTTATCCATTCATAAATCAGCCTGCTGTGGGTTTCTGATTCACTTGTCAGTGTGTATGTGCTAGTCTTCCAGTTTGGGGGAAGAAAGCAAGCCTCACTTTTAATTTTCCTAAACCAAAACTTTGTCACCTTCACATATAAACATAGTTCCTATTGACATCAACAAATGCTAGGTCTGGGAGAATATTGGGCATTTCCACACAGCAGATGGTTGCATTATTACTCCTGAAGAGGTGCGTGCACCTGTGCCAATATGTAGATGGGGGTGGTTTTTTGCACATGCAACAGATCCCCATGTACTATCAATATGATCAGAGGGAAAGAGAACACTTTTTATTAAAAGTCAAAAACATGAGAGCAGTCCAGGGCAAAATCAATATTTAAATAGTTGATTTTAATTCTTTCTACCATCTCCAACATCTTATATTTTCCATTCTTTTCACTGACTAAAAGTAGATACAAATGGCAATACTTCTACATATTGCCAATGGAAAGAAAAGACAGGATTAGGTGTTTCATCTGTGCATAAATATTTTATCCAACATTTTAAGGACTTTATTATCTGTTTGAAAACACCTTTCCAAATTATTTGGGATATGGATTTAAAAAAAAAAAAAACAAAAACAAAACGTATAGAGAGCCAACAATATAAAATTCAAAACACATATGAAGATTTTTCTCACAAGCAACTCGATGCTGTTAGGAGACTTTTCAAAAACATTAAAATTTTTGGTGAATGCTCTGCATACCCACAGAAATGTCCTTCTTGCGTTAGTTTATTTTTAAAAATCAAATAATGGCTTTGTATGTTTAGCTTAGAGGAAACTCACCTTTCTTTTTGCAATCTGCCATCAATTTTGGGGATACCTGTTTTATTGGAGATGTTTTTACTGATTGTCATAGTTGGAGTTTTTCACTTGCATAATATTGCTCTGTTGTTTTTTTTTTTGGGGGGGGGGTGGAGGAGGAGGATGTAGCTGACCTCTGCAAATGGCACTATTAAATTTTATGAACTTGGCCTATTCTATAAGCATTAAATGAAAGAAATATTATGTGCAATACTCAGACAGGAACTTTTGAAGACTGCACAATGAAACTCTGCCAGTCAGGAAATCCATAAAACAACTGGCTCAGGCATGAGAATCAACTTCACTCTAACCCCGAGACTGGTTTATTTAGAGGTATTAGAAGACTAGATCTGCTCACCTCTGGATTGCCAAACATAACCTGCCCCAGAGAGGAAATGGCAGAAGATTCTTGGAAAATGGTGACTATGAGTCATTAGTGGAGACTGCAATCCAGCTCTGCATTAAGACAAGCCTGCATCACAAAACACAAACCTTACTATATATTAATTGACAAACACAAACCTCACTATGTATCAATTGACAACCTGTCAATCACAAGAGAGGACAAGGAGCAGAGACATCTCTGCCTGAGCTTGTGAGTGACATTAAGAGATGAAAATGATGTGTGCCACCTCCCGGGCTGTATCCTGCCCAGCTCTCGTGTTGGGTGTGCAGACTTTTCCGGCTGTCAGGGCCACCAAGGCCATGCTTCTCCTTAAGATAGATTGTTTCCTCCTTGGACAAAGGGAATATGCCATATCCCAAAGCCTCATATTGTGGAAAGGACTTGGAGTCAGTGGGGTGCCTCAATACAATTGCTTGTGAAAGACTGACCTGACAGACAGGGATACACTGAGCAGAAGAGTACTTCATTGATGCATTGACCAAGCTTTATTTATCAAGTGAAGCATTATTTTTTTATTTTTCTGCCAGCAGTATCATCCTTTGCATGTTATTAACTCTTGGTGAAAGTTTCCAGCACAAGCTGAGTCTCTTTTATTCATGCAGGTTTTTCTCTTTCCTGTCTGTCAGGTTCTAGTGAGAAGTGCTGCTTCTAGATGCACCAAGTGATCACTGATGCAATGCTGACATCCTGCCTTGAAAGAGCACACTCAAGGTTTTCATACTATGACCTGGTTCCCGACTGTGCTCTCTGAGATAAAACTGCATGTGTTCTCCCCTCATCAGTAAAATAGGAATTCAAAATTCACAAGTGATTATAACTTTTAATTTAGATTTATAAGAAACAAGTAAAACAAAGAATGAAGAATATGTATAGCAGTCTGTTACCAATGCCACCTGTGTGGGGAGCAACATGAGAAAAAACAAACCCCAACTTCGATCTCTTGTCTTTTTCACAAGAAAGACACTGAATTTCTAACTGTTGTATTGAGTACTCTCTGACTGGATTTGTGAACATATCAATATTCTGCAAGTGAACTGTTCAAAATAGTAAGGGCTGTGGTCCATCCTAAGGTATGCATGTATAAGGACATCTGAGGTTAACAGCCCAGATTCATCTCACCTATTTCAGGGTCTGATCATGCTGCACATGCTCCGTCATCAGTAAGGGACACAGGCATCTTCCAGTTGGCTAATTAGTCCACTGAAGTCTCTCTCTGTTGACTGGAAAGGAAATCAGGGTAAGTACATGCTTCACTTAATTAGATGCCTCATTTCAGCAAGATGCAGTAAGTGCCAGCTAGCTTGAAATTATAAACCCAAGAGCAGAGTTTGGCACTGCTTGTGCATGGTATTAAACCATAAGACAGGCATCCAAGTTCATTCAGCAGAAAACCTCACATTACTTAAAGTGTTAATTAAATTACATGTCGAAGTAACGTATCTTTACCACTACAAAGGAAAGGTTTACATTTTTCTATGAATACTGGTTGGAGTACTCATGCCTAAGAATTGGTAGCCTTATATATGGGATCCATCAATAGCTGTAAGTAGCAAATGACACTAAAAGCAGTAACTTTTTGTTGCAGCTTTAAACTTAGTGAAGCTATCAAACTATTCACTGCATTGAAAGCTCATGTCTTAATGCAGCAGCAGTACATTTGGATACAGATCAAACAGCTCTGCAAGTAGCACAGTTAGAAGCTTTAATTTATAAGTCTTAACTCACAAGAAGTCATAATTACAACCAGTCCTTATCAACGATCTGTCCAGTCCTTGCTTAAAATTAAAATAATCTTTTGTGCACCTGATTAAGTTCTGAACTAAGAACTACAGATTACTGATCTCTTCACTGCTACATGACTCTTTTCTTGTTCTAATCTCCTTATCCTTACTTTTTTTTTATTTCTTTTTTTTTTTTTTTCTCTCATAGCTCTTGTGCAGAGACCCCTAACAATTTGGGCTAAGGAGGTATTTGCATCAATATTATATCTGTGTGTTTTCACTCACTTCCATCTTGTGTAGGCAACCAAGAGCACTACATAGTCCTTAAGGCCAAATGCTCATCTTTTTACTTGTGCTCTCCATCACTTTACCTCCTGATGTGCAACAAAGAAGCCAGTAGGATTGCCCCTGTGGGAAGGCTGTACTGATGGTTTGAAACCATACAAGAATCTGGCCTCCATGATTATATAAGATGTGTATATAAAGACAATTTTGAGGTAATGATGATTTGACAAATGTAGACTGCTGCTAATAGAGCTACTAATTACATTCTGCAACTGTGCTATTAGATCAGATGGATACATGGCGGTCATGAAAATTCCTATTTGATAGCTATTATGCATTAATTTACTTAACTCTTCATACATCCCTGTGGTCAAGTGAAACAAGGAATTAGCGGCTCATCAAGGACATATAAAATAATGCCAGTGCTTAGGAGGCTCTTTCCCTCTAAGTTCCTGACATCTTTGCTTCTTCATATTATTTTTCTTTGGCATTTACATTTGTGGTTCAAGAGTAGAATTTCAAACCTTCAGCTGTGAAAACTAGTGCAGTGCTTATTGCAAGTAACGAGGTGGCAAGGACAAATATAGGCCCAACACTTGAGCACACACCTACACTGAGAGCCCAAGGAATCTTCTCTGTCACCACCCCAACTTGCAAGAACCATCTCCAAAAGGAACAGAATAATCCAGGCTACATGCCCATTTACTACATAGTCTTTCAAATGGGATTACCAGCAACGATTCAGTTTTTTACAATTTTCATGAGGTAGACACAAGTTCTTGTGGAATTATGATGTCAGGACCAGAGTCACTTGTTATCTTTTCAGGCTTCAGCCTGGAAAAGGGAAGACTGAGGGGAGACCTCATCAATACATATACATGTCTGAAGGGAGGGTATCAAGAGGTTGCAACCAGACTCTTTTCAGTGGCGCCCAGTGACAGGATGAGAGGCAACTGGCACAAACCGAAGCACAAGAAGTTCCCTATGAATATGAGAGGGCATTTCATTTCTGTGAGGGTGACAGAGCCCTGGCACGGGTTGCCCAGAGAGGTCATGGCGTCTCCTTCTCTGGAGATACTCAGAACCCACCTGGATGCTTTGGTCAACTGCCTGCAGAGAGCTGAAAGATTCTCTAAATACCGGAAGCCAGAAGCCATCCAAGACATCTAGACTGATGTAAATATTGTTTAAAAAATAATGAAAAGTTTCTGAATGATTAAGCTTATGGAACATATACTGCAACTTCCTTGCTGCTGCAGTTTCAGCACAAACTATCTTTAGTGATCTGTCTGGTCGAGACTCCAGGCTCTGACATTCTTTTGAGAAGACTCCTCATTTTTCTAAAGAACAGCTCCTAGTCCTCTAAAGGCAATTTTAGCAATAGCAGATGCTGCTGTTTCCATGATGAGAGTGTTTTTATAGGAGGCCAAGGCCTGATCCTCCTTTCCTCCAAGATCACCATATAGGCAGGGAGTAGTTTCACTGAAGTGAGAGGAAACCTGCAAGGGCAGAACTAATGCAAGTCAGGGGGGAAACCAAGGCTCTGCAGAGGAGTCATTTTTAGCATTAGCTGTGACAGATGTGAGTCTGAAAGTTGCCTCCCTGCCGCCATGCATCACCCAGCAGGCTCAGGCAGGGACCCTGCCGAGGTGGAAGCAGATGTTTCGGTGACAGCTTCGCGGCTTCCCCGTCTCCTTAAAGACAACTGATCCTTAAGGAATGAATACTGAACTTCTCTAGAAATGATCTTTCTTGTTCCTTTGCCAGCTCTTCCATTTTCCCAGATCCCTCAAATGTGAAAGTTTTCTACCCAGGGAAATGCAGAGTTTCATAATACAGGATACCCTTTGGGAGAGTAATAGCTAGATGCGGAGACATGGACGTCCTTCAAGCTCTTTGGAAGTCATAAGGGGCACAAGAAGGGAGAATCCCTCCATCCTCCACATGGTCCCAGGAGGCTGTTTGGCAGGGCTCCCACAGGACGGGGCCAGCTGGGCAGGCGCTCTGCGGCCAGTGTGCATGACGTGCTAGGGAAACAATTCATCTTCATTCCAAATTATCTGCCATTAGTCACTGTGTACATGTACTCGGCAATTAATCCTCTCTCTTGCTGGAGGGCTGGTTTGCTGTGATATTACACAAATTTCTCCATCTGCCTTTGTCTGCTTCCATCAGCAGCTTCGCTTGGGCTTTCTCCCTATCACACTCTTTCCTTCTCTCCTCCTGATGTGATGTGCAAGAGCCGTAGTGGAAAGTCAGACACTAACCAAGACCGAATCTCTTGGATGAGGTCAATTTATAATCACCTAGTTGTGAAAATCTGTTGAAGATGACAATGCCTCCTGTTTCTGTACCCCATGGTATAGTGATACTTTGGGCAAAAAGATCAACGATGCAGGCAGCTGTGGTTACAAGAGCAGCCATTAACAAACTCATGGAGTGAGAGGTCAAAGTATGTGACTGTCTGTCCATTTACCTTCAGATGAGTGATTCTGTTTTTGCGTTCAGAAACATGTGGTGACAGAAGGTGAGCTGGCATCAAACCCTCCATCCAAACACCTCAAAGTAATTCAGACATAGGCTGATGCTGCTTGTATTTTGATTTGCAGGTAGTCATCAGCCCCCTGATGTGAGATGCAAGACAATTTCCAGAATGTTTGGGTTTCTTTGTGCGTATTTATTGCTATGTAGGATTGGAGATATCTTGCCTTGATATTATTTGTTTGGCTTTTTTTCATAAACTGATGTGGGAAACATGTTTTTGAATGACAATTTTTGAAAAACAAATGTACTTGTTGCACAGATATATCTCATTTGTACTGTTTTTAAGTACAAAATTAAAAAAAAAATAATGATTTTTTTCCACACACTTCAAAGGAAATATTTCTAGTTATTTAATTCAAAATTTTTTTTTGCTTCAAAATTTGCAATTTTATTTTTATTTTTGTTTTTATTTCCTTCTGATCTTTTAGAAGACTATTAGAACTAATGTATGTTTGGAGTAAAATACTTACATATGGACTAATTATTTATGTACTCATTACCTCAATTCAAACCCGGATTGTCAAAAATGTGGCAGTCTCTTTCAAAATTAGCACGAGTCAGTAATTTCTGTGTGCAGAACACAATTAGCGCAGCCTAACTGCTACAGCCAAGAGTCTTGCAAGCATTACAGTTGGATGACTGGAGGAGAATATAGACAAGGAAGTCCACACAATTAGAGAGTCCAGATTTTCCTTTCAAAACCTCTGTAGCATTTGCATAATTAAGCAAAGTGGATGTAATATTAAGGAATGCCACCTGGGGAGGGATCTCTCTGAAATTACACTTTGTGCCACATGATGCTATTCTGCACGCAGCGGCTTGGATTCAGCCAGCCCCACGAACAGCGTTGTGTTGATGTCTGCCACTGTGGCCTGGTTAATTATAAAGCTAATACAGAGGAACGCAGACGTGACCATGGGGTCTGCAATGTCCCTGGGATGCATTTTTTTGCAATTCAGCTGTTAAGGGAATCTCACACTGCAGTTTTGCATTTCCTAGGCTTATTTTCCCAGCACATAAATTTTCTGAGAACTTCCATCTTCTTTTATCTCTAAATACTATCTCATACTCAGGCGAAATAATGATTCTAAATTAACTGTCATTAAGCTTTTCAGCCTAACCGTTCTCTTTGTGTTATTATGCAAGCTTGAAACTGTGAGCCAATTTCATCTGTCCTCAAACATTTTTTTAAACATTTTCAGCTTTGCCGGAAAGGGAAAACAGTTTGAAACATCTTAAAAATGAACGTTTTTTTTTTTTCCTTTTTTTTTTTTTCTCCCCTACAATTTTGGTTGATTTGCCAATAAATTGAAAAATCAACCTGTCATATAACATTTCCCATACTTCACTAAGGAAGGAATATTTTTGGTATTTGTTAAACAAGCAACTTAGGGGAGGGAAAGCAAAATCTTTAAAACATTGAAAGAAAATCAGTAAGCCTCATGTTTCTTCTATTTCTCTGTAGTTCAGTCAAGTGGAGTTATTTGGAGTGATGCTGAAGATGCCCAAAAAGCTGTGTGTTTAGCTCATCTGGGATTTAGCAGGAACCTCCTCCGTACATCTTTCTCTGTCTGGGACATGCTCATTGTAAACATCGGCAGAGTATGGGTAAAATATTGTTTAAACTGAGCTGCCTTTGTAGGGCAACACAAACAACTGCACAAAGCACGACGGAGAGGGAACAGCCAAGTGTAAGCCAGCTCCCGTGTCTGACGCCTGCAGATCATATGGTGCATGACCCAATTCACCACCCTTGATCTCAGATCTGTTCCCCTGGCACTAAAGAGACTTTGGCTATGTTACTATTGTTTTCTCCTGGCAGGACTGTGGGAGGAAAGCATTTTATTGAGAGATTAAATTGGCTCCAGATGGCTAAGCTGGCCTTTCAGACCAAACTCCTGTTTGGGCTCTCATCATCTCCGATCTCGGGCACTGCAGTGTGCTCCTCCTTGGCCTTGGCAAACCTCTTCTCCCCAGCACAGATGCTTCTCCTTGCTGGTGTAGCTCCTCGGGGCTCACTCCCCTTCCCTATCGCCACTGCCCCCATCACTTGGCAAACTTTGCTCTCCCGTCAGGTGTCAGCAGGGAACCTTCTCCATCCCCTTGACCCACTCTGTTAACCTCTGTTGCTCACTTGATAACTTTTAAGCCAACACCCAGCTAGCCAATTCTCTGAAAAAAATATACTCTGAGAAGGGCGTTTCAGAATATGTCTGGTTTTAACCTGCATTTGCACCAAGATTTACTGTGCACCCAGTGGCAATGGTTTCATTCAGAAAGAGGAGTATCCTGCCTAAACGTACCAGCAATCAGCTCATTCCCACTGTTTGAAGGGGAGAGCCAGGACCCTTTCCTCCCTCTTCTGCTGTCACTCAGGCCACAAGGATGGGAGCACACAGGCACGCTACCTCTGTGTCACGTCAGCTCTCTCAAGCAGTCAAACATCTTTCCTGGACAGTAACTGCTTTTGAATAATGGATCACCACAGCAAGGCATGCTGATGATCTATTATTCAAATGACAGCATTACCCAAAAAAGAAAATGCCACAATTGGCTTCTGTGTAATCACAGGATAGCAATCAAACTCCAGGCACATGGGTGGCTGCATCCCTGGCACCGCATGTCTGGTAGAAGAATGCCAGCCTTGCAACCTTTAATTAGTACTTAATAAACTGAAAAGGTGCAATTTACACTTCTGATTTACCTCGAGGAGCAAGCTGTATTCCTCTTGCTGCCTCTGCTTTTGCAGACTTCAGCCCTTCCTGTTTTCCTTCTGCTCTAAGCAGCAGCCAGGAGAAAATACAATGGCATCTCTCAGCTGAACAAGACAGTCCATTTATTATGATTGCTAGCACTGTTCTTGCAGCAAGCTAGCAAAGCCAGTCACATGCCTTTTTACATATAACACCAAGCTGAACTGATTTAAAAGCAGTATTTCAGTGAAATGTGTAAGCAAAGGAAAGTTCTAGGATGGTGCAGAAAAAGCCCTCCCACTGAAGTGAGCCTCCATTTGGCTGCGTTTAACCTGATAAGAACATGGTCTTTGTACACTTCATGTGATTATTTCAGGTTGCTAAATCTATCCAGAGAATCACATCCCCATGTCTATGGGGAGGCAATGCTCCAGTTGTTAGGTGGAGACTGAGGACTAGGTGCTTTTAGGCTAAAGCTGGCAGTGTCAGTCCTTCCTTTTTGATAGTTTTAGCAGCTTTCACTACATACATATATATATCTTCTCCTTAAAATAGAAGTTAAATGTACGAAAAGGAAGCTATGCATATGCAGGCATCTCTGCAGTCCCTTATGAACATCAGGAAGCTGGTTATTTCCATTCACTGAGCGAAGGCAGAGCACAGGGTGACAAATCACAGCTCGCAGCCTGTTGTACAATGGGGCACCAGTCACCGAGCAAGCGATGTTAAAAAACATACAGCTTCTGCCAGAGAGCAATAAGGCTTTCAACTGTTCCTGTATGTCCAGCAAAAGTAGGAAGAATATTGAGAGGGTTTATTATTCATGATGCAAAAATGAGAGATCATTACATGTAATTGTGAGAAAATTAATGCAGAGAGCAGGTTCATAACATAAAGCATTTAAAAACACATAAATATTCTTTTTGTTCCAGAACAAAAATTTGCTGAAAAACTATTTCAAAATACACTTATTCTGGTACTGCAATAGTTCTACCTCTTCCAACAAATTAATCCACCTTCTTATATCTCTAAATACTGTTTTGTATTCAGCCTTAACAAGTGCTTTTGAATTAACTATCATTAAGCTCTTCAGCTTTGTCATTCTCCTTGTGTTACTGTGCAAGCATAAAACTGCCAGACCAATCCAGCTGACCTTAAGCGAATGAAGCAGTGTTGTGTATAAAGACCTAGAAAATCACAGCGACAGCCCTTGTTGAATTCAGCAGGGCCAAGGTTTCACCCAGATGTTCTTCTCTAAGACTGTGTGTTCCTGAAGCTATGAAGGCACTGGATTATAAGTAATAAAATATAGGCTGATGACTTCCTGCTGAGGTGCAGATCCTTGCATAGTGGGTTTCAGCCTACCAGCAATGGTTCTGCATTTCTTATTTGCCTTTTGGTCCATACATACCTGTGGATAACAAGACTGAAAACCTGGTGACTACCAAATGGGCACAGACCCGTATGTGAATGGCCAGCCCAGTGAGTGTCAGGAGCTGGTGCTGGGCAGCTGCAGAGCACAGTGGGGCAGCCTTTGTACGCTGCAGGAGGTGCTCTGGAGCTACCTTTTCTACCAGTTTTATGTTACCATTTCCCAGTATGACATCTTCAGAAGTCACAATGTGATTTAAGGGTTTAAGTCCCTGTGGGTTTCCCTGCTGAAAGCCTTGAAGCTGCTCCAAGAACTGTGCAGAGCTTCTTCACCGTTAGTTGCAAGAATGTGGTGCATCCAAGAAATGTGGAAGTTGAGTTAATTCACGTATTTAAAGGTGTCTGAGCTGATACAAACCTCTCACAGGTTGATGCTGATCCTTTTACAATGCCTCCTGGATCCGAGTGCTGGCTAATGCAGATAGGCTTATTTCCCCGGGAACGCAGCCATCCCATCTGAGCCTGTAAAACATGAAAACATAGGTACTTATAAAAAGAAAAAAAAAAAAAAAAACAATTTAAAATAAATAAATAACATTAAAAGTGCTAGGTTGTCTTTCAAAGAGCTTTGCGGAGTTTTATGGTATCCAGGTACCATACTGTGAAGCATCCCCTGCAGATCCTGCTGTGCCCACAGAGGCATGTGAGTCAGCAGGGCTCCTGAGGCCCAATGCTCGCTGACGAGTTCAGTTTTTATGTACTGGGTCTACCACTGGGAGAGCCTCTCTGGTCTCCAATGACCAAATACTGAGATATAATGGCTGATGCAGCAGAGGAGATGGGTCTACGAAACACAACTGCTTGGTGATCACAGAAGAGAGTCCTTAATGTGGACTTGCATTTATTTCTGCTTTGAGCTTTGAAGGGAGAGAAAGAAAAATCCAGCCCTGAGCTTCCAAACACTAAAGTTAGATAAAAGAAAGAGAGCTTCAGGGAAGCATTAATCAATTTGCAATATGTTTCATTATTTAAAAAATTAATTCTCCTTCAGCTAAATTAAGTTGAATCAGTAGCTCATTTTAATTCTCTGTCTACCGCAGTGAAATCCATCCTTATCTTCTGACCACTCTCCTGGCCTGCAGTGGGAACCACATTGTGAGGTGAATTTTTGGTCTAAAAAATTAAGCAAACATGAATACTTTGGTTATGACCATTTCATTTAGAACACGGGAGGCTTCAGAAATGTCACACTAAGTCCAAATCCATGGCACGTTGAAGAATAGGCTGATATGCTAACAGATGCCATTAACAGAGTTAATGGACAAAGTCTAACAAGACTTGTTAACCACTTCTTAGCCCATTAAGCTTTTAAAAGTAACAAAGTATAAGGCTGTGGTATGAATTAAATAAACACCTGAGATATAATTTTCTGTGAGTGCCAAGATATTTATTCTAAAGAAATAACAATCCCAATTGATTTACATTTTTAATGTATTCTGCTTCAAAAAATATTATTGCACTAGCTCAGACAAGTAGTTGCTAGTTCAGAATGTGAAAGCAATCAGGAAAGCTAAACAAATCTTTTAATTTATGGAGAATAACAGAAAATGTTGGTTCTCCTAAGGCTGTTTTTGGAAAGTCAGTATTTCATTAAGTATTCCTAGTTTCGAACATTTAACTGCCTTTGACTGGCAAAAATATTTGCTCCCATATGGGATGTTTCATACAGTAGTTATCTAAGGATGTTGTGATAAGCAGAACAGCCTTTGCCTAATTCTGTACAAGGCAAAGAGATTTCAGAAAAAAGTCCAAAAAAAATTCCAAAAAAAAAAGAGAGGGAGAGAAGGACTCAGGTGAAGAAATGGTTGCTATTGTTGCTCTAAACCTGGCAAATCAGGTATGTTTCTGCAGATGATGCTGTTAATACCCAGGGAAAATGGAGGATGGTGTCAGGAAGGGCCCTTCCCTTCCCTTCCCTTCCCTTCCCTTCCCTTCCCTTCCCTTCCCTTCCCTTCCCTTCCCTTCCCTTCCCTTCCCTTCCCTTCCCTTCCCTTCCCTTCCCTTCCCTTCCCTTCCCTTCCCTTCCCTTCCCTTCCCTTCCCTTCCCTTCCCTTCCCTTCCCTTCCCTTCCCTTCCCTTCCCTTCCCTTCCCTTCCCTTCCCTTCCCTTCCCTTCCCTTCCCTTCCCTTCCCACAGTAGGTGAGTATTTTGGAGTCCTCACTGCACAGATCATCACAGAGCCACTCCAAGGGAGAGGATGCTAACGGCACAGGCAGGACTCGTGCAGCCCCACAGGCCGTGGTGGCAGTGTGTCACCAGGACATGCTGGGGCAGGAGAGCCCGAGGTTGATGTTGTAGCTGAGGAACGTGTAGGAGGAATCCAGCGCCGGCTTGCCTGCATGCCAGCACGCACGAGGGAAAATACCTGCACGTCCCGGGCTGTGCTGTGGTGCTCCTAGCTGGGACTGACATAGCTTTGGCTTGGTTCATTGAGAGCCTAGTGCACGTCTGTGCGCAGCAGCCTGCTGTGGTTTAATGAGGTATTTTACACACTTACCTCTAGTTCATGCAGATTAATTTCCTGAGGCTGTGCCTGTGCTTGAAGTTATTTCGGAAAGGCAGCCCCTGAGTGCTCCTGTGCATGCTAAGACACACTGTTAAAATGTAGAATAACTCTTGCTACTTGCACTTTTCTAAGCTCCCAAAGATGCCCCAAACCCCTACAGCAGGGCAGGAGCTGCACCCAGGCTCTCACCAGCCCCAGGGTGCCGGTCCTGCTGTCACCCAAGGGCATGAGAGCCAGGGCATTGCTAGGTTGTGGGTTTTACACCCCCCCCAGCTCGGTTTGCCCTCCTGCCAGCACCCCATCAGGGCACAGACAGCCTGGCACACCCAAAAGACAAGTCCCTGGCCCTGGGACAACCTGGCCCACTGCAATTTGTAACGGAGCTTCCATGAGATTACTTAGTTGTAACCTTGTGAGAACCAAATGAATTCACCATAATTAGTGCATTCAGCGTGAATCCCAGTGGAAGCAATAATGATTTCCAGTTTATTCAAAAAAGGTTGCTATTTTCCCTGACAAAAATGATGACCTAAAAATAACTGATGTATTCCTCATTACTTTAGTGAGCGTAATGATATGTTTGGAAGAAACACCAATTTTCCTGTCTACTGCTTTTGACACAACAACAATTAGTCATAAGCAATGAAAAAAAATACTTGCATTAGCTAAGAAGTGGTGAGAAATGTTTCTGTATTCATAGCTACTGCAATATTATTTGGCTACATTAGTCAGACTCATTTTGTAGGAGCAGGGATCAGAAAACATGCTCTGTAGAAATTAAAACCTGTTGATAGTAAAGATACCGAAAAAATGTATTTCACCAGGATAGTCTTCCCAGAGGAAAAAGATGTTTCTGTAGCATCCAGGTATCACATCATGTAATGAAAATAGCAACGCCGTTGTCAGGAAGCTACAGCTAGCCTCAGGATAATAATGTTTGTCTCGTATGTTTGTCTCTCATGGTTGTAACATAATCACATCATGTTATCTCTGTGTCTTGTCACTGAGTTTTGTTGCTATATCTGTAGTTATAGAAGTAAATATACAGAAAAAAAATAAAATTAAAATGTTCTGCTTAATCATTTACTTTATTGGTCTTCATTGGCATGCCAGTTGGTCATTTCTCTCTTCCATCTGTTTGAACAACATAAAAACCTATGATGAAAAGGGCCACTATTAATATTACAGAATTAAAACCAACTCCACTACACATCTTTTCTTTCACCTTTCTTTACTTCTTCCCCAGTCACTGCTCTTTCAGCTATTCCCTTCACACATGGCATCTTACACTTGGCATCTTGCTCTCGGTGCCTTACGCTTGCTTCCCAGCGTTGCAGCGTTTGCTGTGCACTTGTCTTCATAAATAATGCATGGAGAAAGACTCTGCAATTCCCCGACAATCCTTAACCAGAGGGCAGGCTCGTTCCCCAGCACCCACAGGTGTCATTGACATGCATTGCCCTTGTCATACAGACCAGTTCTCTTAGGGCGAGGCACATCTTTCTTCCAGCTTTTCCTAGCACCCTGTGCTCATTATGCTACTATGAATTTACTGTCTGCTAAACATAAATTGAGCGTGGTTTCAAAGCCTACATTCCCTAGGCTGCCACCCTGCTAACGAAGGGGGAGGCCTGGTGGTCTGTGAAGGTCCAAGCCTGTTTTGCTCTTCTGTGTGTACTTGGGGCCTTCCTATTAAACAATGGGGCATGGGTTAGGCTAAACACGCTGCCTCCTACTCTGGTAAGAGCAATCCCAAACCTGGTTGCTCCCAAGCAGAATCTGAATCCAAGCATGAGCTACAGCAGCATAGGTGGAGGGCAGGTGGTATGGGCCCAGCACACGAAGTGCCGATGAGAAAGTTTTGGCTCCTGTAAAAGCCAAAGGAAAATATGCCTCTTGCACAATGCAAAACCAGGTTCTACCACAGCATGAGGCTATTTCTCCATTTCTTTCTTTTCCTTATGAAGTGAGGTAGGTTTCCTCCCCCACTTCTTCATTTCTCGCTGTTTCTGGTAGACCGAGGAATCTCCTTCTGGTAATTTTTTATACGTTGAACACTGAGGAAAATGCTTCTGTTTCATTACTGCTCACATGGTAGACTTTGGGTTTCCACAGTGTATTTTACCTTTCAGTTTCCAATTACACACCAAGACAAACTATTAAAATGCAGAATAGCTTGTACTCCTTGCACTTTTCTAAGCCCTGCTGTTTATAGGAGTGATTTAAGCTGCTCCTATTGCGTCAGCTAGACAATTCAGTCTTATCATTTTACACAGATAACAGGGATCATCTGTTATTAATGAAGCTTAACTCATTCACCTCATTCTCCATGTTTGGTTCAGTCAGCAGCTGAGCCCAAACAACAGGCAAATGAGGATGGAGACATTTTTTAAAGGACTCAGCATTAGCATGGCCTAAGCTCTCCAAGACAGAAGCTATGCAGACCCTGCCAGGGCAAAACCTCAAAGCCTCTTTGAGTTGGTGTTTTGTTTTTGTTTTCTGCAAAAACCCCTCTGAGAGTGCCTTGCCTCTGTCGTGTGAGGGGCTGGTGTTTCCCAGCAGAGCTGGTTCCAGCAATGCTGCAGCATCACTCACAGAAATGCTCCCACGATGGGAACAGAGAGGGACCACTGGGTACTCCAGAGGCAAATAACACCAGAACAAGGAGAAACCACTGAAGAACTGTCTGCAAATATTGTTGCAGGGGTGAAGAGCTGCATTTTTCCAAACTAATTTCATTTTATTCCCTTTTGGTGGCCAAATGGCTAGGTTCTCATATGGAGCGGATAAGTCTGATTATGGATTGTGAAATGAGTGTATGTGAATATTTCCAGGCCTCCTGAGCCCCTCCCTAAGTTTATAAAGCCCTTTGAAGTTAAAACAAAAGCAAACCTCTAATTATCTTAAGAAAACCCTTGTGAACAAGGGGCCTTGCCATTGGAGAGGAAACTTCAGACATTATCTGTTCTGTCCTGGCTTTCCCATGCTTTTTAAGGGTCAATTCCATCTGGGTGACTTCTGAAAGTCTTAAAGTGAAACTTCAAAAGTACTGAGGGCCCAGGGGAAATTCTTTTTTCTCTTTGAGCTCCTTTTTTTTTTTTTTTTTTTAATAACTGGTCCCTATCACTGCCATGGTATTTTATAATAATATCACCAATCATTAAGTATTTGGTTTGAGAAATATAATGTGAAAATCTTACATATATTAAGTTCATCTACACTTCAGCCTATAAGGGAAGACGGCCTGGGTTTGAACAATAATGCCACACACTCATCCCCAAACCTAGCCTCTACACCAAGAGAGCCAGAAGCGTTTGGGAGAGAGCTCTTTGTCAGCACTGCCAGCGCCAGGCCTGATGCAAACAGTGCCCATCAGCGATCAGGTGCTGAGTGCCAGGTGCTCAGGGATACCTCTGACCAAACAGAGAAGGGCAATTTCTGCATTTCAGTGGGTGAACAAGTGATCTGAACTCCATGAGCTGCTGCTGCTGCATATATTAATGTTAATTTTCACTCGTATGGAAAATCAGGTCAGCTGCTTAAATCCTTCACTACCAGCATATCCAAATTTGAAAATCACAGACATAGGTAAGAAGGCATGCAGACTCCCTGGGCATCACCAGCCGTGCCTGAGTAAACCACTGGGCTAAACAAAGAGGGAATGGACAGGACAAAGAGTTGCCCTGTTCTCTCGTCTGTCCAGCAGTGCTGAGCCACTGCCACCTCACAGAAACAGCCCAGATGCCAGTCCCCAGCCCAGGGGGAAGCACACAGGCAGATGCAGAAGCTGTGTGTCCCCTGGGGCTTTCCCAGCACTGGAGAAATCCTCAGAGATGCGGAGAAACCGTGTTAAGGGCTGATTTGCATGTCAGTCCTTCATACCGCTACTTCAAAGCTAATGATCTGGTTCTTAGCATCTTTGAAAATATCCGCTGCTACCAAAAATAATAAAAGGAAATCGTATGTGTCCCGGGCAGCTAATGCCCATAAAAAGATCACACAGCAGAAAAGGGATTGCTGAGGAAAAAGATGCACACATTCGAAGCTCTCAGCAACAACTGAGCCCCAGACGGATTGGCGAAGTGATCTGCGCAATTAGCCCCAAAGGCAGCGGAGAGCAGTTCCATACATTGCATGTCACATGTCAAAACTTCATTGTCTGAAACCGAAATGGCTCATAAATTGCGAGGCAGTGCAAGAGCAAGCCACGCAGAGGACTATTAATTGCATACTGGAAGAAATAACATTTTTAACAAGCAAGCTTATGAGGGCTACTGTAACCTGGAAGAAAAAAAAGAAATCCTTTGCTTTGCCTGTCCTTGGAGCTATTTGCCTTTATACATACTGCCCTTAGAAACCTCTGTTTTTTCCCTCACAGTGTCAGCTCTAATTCCCCTTAGCCCCTGGAAGGCCAGTCTTTGGTTTGGTGATGCAGAAGGTTTGTCCCTGTGTAGAGTCCTTTGCTTTGCTGAATGAAGCACAAAGAGCTGCATCTGCATTAGGGCAAGGACCCCGGCATAAGCAGCCATATACTACATAAAGCATGTTTTATTTGCTAGGGCAACAGCATTTCTGCTGTTCTTCATGCCTGGTATTAACAGGTCTCAAGATAACGGTGTCTGTTGGACTTGCCATACAAAGGACACGTTGAGGACTATGTCACACACGAGCCAAGTGCCTTCCTACAAAGACGTGGGTGACTTTGGAATGGCAAAAAGGAACAGATCGAACATCGTGTGTGCATATACAGACATCTGTCAGTGTGTTGTGGTGTGATATCTGGGTTGTGC